AGGACAAGCTTCAGGGTGTGTTTTTGGTGGGAAGAAAAGAAAACAGGGACGGATCCAGGATTTTCAAGGGGGGGGATCATGTGATTAAAAGTAACGCGAGCGCGTAGCGCGAAGCATTTACTGCGTGGGGTCCGGGGTCAAATCTAGTTGCTCTGCTCTGTGGTGCGATCTCAGGCAATATCTGACCACTTTAACCAATAGTGTGTAGCAAAAGATCATCATTTTACTCGTACTTCTGACATCACTTTCAACCCATTTTTTTATGATTCCCTTTAGTGTGACTCTTCATTTTTCCACTAATAAACCTAACCCAAAAATGCCCCTAAACCTGTTTTCCAGAGCGGGGGAAAGACTGTGTGGACCTGGGCAAGTCCACACAACGTCGCTGCTCCCTGGTTTATGTGGACCTAAGTCCACACAGTGAATGTAATGCTTGTACATGTACACACACGCAAACTCAATAATACTTGTTTCACATGACTAGTGTGGACTTTCCATTGCTTTCGTGTAGTTAAGAAAAACCAGTGAAAAAACTCATTTTTCTCAAACTGTGAAAACTCTTTCAACCCAATTTTTTTTCTATGATTCCCTTTAGTGTTTCTCTTCATTCTGCTACAGATAAACCTAACCCAAAAATGCCTCTAAACCTGTTTTCCAGAAATGGGGAAACACTGTGTGGACGTGGGGTAAGTCCACACAACGTCGGTGCTACCTACATTATGTGGACGTCTTTTGTTCGGAAGTCCACACTGCGTATGTAAGACAAGCTCACTGACACCCAAGTGTGTATTTGCCTGCAATCGGGGTCCCCTATTCCTCCCTCTTTTGTTTGTACTTTTTAAGAAGACCTTCCATATGCTTTGTACACATCGCAAAACTTGGGACCCTTCGGGAATTGGGGACTCTATTGTCCTATATTGTTCAACGTCCCCTATTAAATGCAGAAACAAACTCTCATACACTTTAAACAGTGGGGGACATGTCCCCCGTCCCTCACCGATTGACGCACATGGTGGATTTTCCTGTAATGTACAGCATATTTTACAGCATAGGTCTCCTCTCGCTTGTCGCAGCCTTTTTAATCTCGTTGCGTGCGCCCTTTCTACATCTCGTCGCGCGCGCCTTCTGTCTTGTCGCGCGCGCTGTCTCGTCGCAGTTCTTTGTCGTCGCTTTTTAATATAGTAGACCCCCAATAGTAATTGTTGTCTTATGTGCAACTGATCCTAGCAGGCTACAGTCTGACGTAAACCGCGCTATTAATTATGTCTTTCCCTCTTTTTTCTTCTCTTTTTGAGTCTTTCTCCCTCTCTCTATTTGTTTTTTTTATGGAAAGGGGGGGGGCGTGGAAAAGAAATCATTCCTTTATTGATATATTTTTTTCTACGATTGTTCCTCTTTTAAACAGTATTTCGAGGCGACTTCCGATAAAGCAGAAGTGACCATTTTTAAATCTTCCGTGTATGCTCGGTTTGTCAGAGTGTCTTCAATTATAGCATATTGGTTTGAATACCAGCATACTCAACTTGAGCTGTGGGGATGTAGAGGTAAGCTACCAATGTTTTGATTATACTGTAGATTCAAAGTCCTAGTCAGGTCATTACAAGTTCATCACAGGTCAATCACAATTAAGTAGACCGGCAAAAGTTGAATATTTCGCTCAACATGACATTTTTGGTAAAAGCAAATATGCCTAATTTGCATAAATTGTTAATCCCTGCCATGTAAAATATTTATTCCCATATTTGGGTATATTCTTTATTCGTTTTTCCCCGTTTTTGTTTGCTGGCTAAATATCACCACGTTAATAGGTTAACTGTGCCAGTAAGCAGCTTGGTGAATTTAAAGCTTATCAATAGTAAGTTGTTGCAGACTTCTTGAAGATATCTAGAGACAAGGTAAATACGTGCAACTGTTGGGTATTATAGTAGCTATTTTGGATCGCTACTATGTCCTCATAATTATTCAGTCACTTACATTCTTTAGAAATTTTATCGAAGTAAGGATGTGAAAGTAGAATAACCATTTTTTTTTAAACAAAATATAGGGGGAAATGTAGGTAATAACGGTTTATGCAAATGAGGTATATTAGGGGTCAAAAATAACGATGGCATCCACTCACAAACTGGCGTGAAATTATTTTCTAGAGAACTTTTCCACATTAGGCTGGCCAGCTAACTCATCAAATGTCCATGACACAAGTCATCACAAGTCAGTCAGAAGACATCAAGGGTATTCCTTTGTAAATGTTTTTGATGACTTCTGATTCATTGTGATTGACTCGTCTTTCACTCCTTAGGCCAACCAAATTAATACCTAAATTGTTGTTATCCGTATGATAAGACATGATTTTGAGGCTGATAGATTCATTGGAAACTTCCATTGTTTTAAATCTCTTGACACGCAACGCAACATTTCCTCTTGTTCATAATAGTTGTTAGCATTTAGATATTTAAAGTGGATAGAAAATGCTCACGGTAGCAAATATGCAAGCTATTAATTAAACAAAATAATACATTGCGTCACGTCTAAAATCGGTATCGTGGAACGATGTCCGATATGGGCTAAAGGTTAAACTCATTTTCGGCAAAGACGGGATGAAACCGGTCCAGAGATATGATAGGCAAGAAAAGTATCAAAGAGCCAACTTTACTCTACGTCAGCCTGACTCTATTCGAACTTTCCTCTTCGTCTTGTCACCCAGTCTAAGCAAAAGTCAAAAGGCCTGTTCGGAATACTCTCTACTCAACACGATGCTTGGGTCTCAAATCGTAAGTCACGATTGTCTTGACAAACGGCTACCGTCAACCTAATGTGTATTGTGTGTATCTTGACAGGCCGATGTGAGGATAAGTTGGGTGTTGAAGATGGGACAATCCCTGATGACATGCTGACCACGTCCAGTGCAATTGCTGACTATGGTGCCCACTTAGCCCGAATCAACAACCACAATGCGTGGTCCCCAATGAATACCGACTCCCGCCCATGGATACAGGTCAACTTAGGCTTAGATACGGTCGTTAGCGGAGTGATCACTCAGGGAGGTATGTTGGATTACAAGAACGCTACACAGGTCCGTTGGGTGGAGACCTATAAAGTAGACTACAGCAACGGCTGGTTGGAGTCTACAATGGCCGAATCCATCCGTGAAGTAACTGATGAAAGAGGAGTAACGCAGGTAGTTATAGTCATAAACCGCTTGGAAAATGGTATCGTTGGGACACATTCCCAAGACCTGCATAGTACAAAATAGCCGACCTTTAATAAAACCTAACTCTAAACTAAACTTGACCTACCGTCACCAGCCTTCGTGCATTTGGGTTTTGCCTTACAAGGAATCGATTTAGGCTATTTTGCGACGATACATTCATGGATAAACATTAGAGATGCACGCAAATGTCTTCCTTATCTACCTAATTGTCGCCCTAAGGTACAACATTTTGGCAAAACGCTTCTCCTTAAAGCTATAAAGAGGTACTTTTGAAATATGTTTGCAAGGGAACCAAACAAAACATTAATCACGTTTCTTACGTTTTACAAAAGCGGAAACGTTTAGCCTAGGTCACAGGTTCATTAAAAAAAATAGCCAATGAGCGGCTGATGCCTAAAAGTTATTCTAAGTGGAAGCTAGATACATTATTGTAGGCTTACTCGGCACCTACGAGAAAGAGCACTTTCTTCTTATCTTCCCTGTCCAGGTCTTCTCTGCAAACTTTGACTGGAAAACACCCGTCACAAACTTGTTCAGACAACCCGTCCTGGCTGGATTGGTGCGCATTGTGCCGCTGTCTTGGCATCATGCCATCTCGATGAGACTAGAACTCCTGGGATGTCTAAGTAAGAACTGCCGCACTGTAGTGACACATGTTCCGATGGCCCATCCCAGAGTATATTCCACCTTGTTGTTAACAAGTAAATGGTGTGGCCTTGTTTGGAGAGTAGACATTGCGCGTGGAGGAAATCGGTAACAATGAATGCACAAAAGGCTCACTCATGCATACTCCATCAAAACAAAGGCATTGTTCCCTAAGATGGCTGCTACGTATAAGGTCTATAAACATTAAGCAAGCCTGAATCAACAAGCCACCTTTTCACTACATTGTTATATGGAATTACACTAGCCATCAACATTCGATATTATGGGACTCCAAGCAACTCCACCTATTTCACGAACCTACACACGATTTACGGAAGCACTATTGGTTAATAATGCATGTGTTTAATTAACACACATGTAATTACCTTCCAATATATTTATGGTACAAAACTTGTGGGATGTCCATGGTTATTTGGAAATCGATTTAAGAACCCTAGTATTCTTAAAAATGCGTATTCTGATAATTGTATGTACAACATAGAAATATGAATTTGTGTCATTCAAAAACACGTTATCTTTGACAAAACACGTCAAAGTCACGTATGTTACTACAATGTATGATTTACATCCAATACAGCCGTCTTTAGCGCGAAAAGCTACAATCAAACCAGATTGTCAATTTTTTCATTTTTTGAAAATTGTTGGACAGTTTTGGTGTGAAAAAAAAAGTTTGATAACTTTGGTCCTGCTGTTACACTATTACAAGTTCATTGTGTGCTAATTTTGGTTGTTAAACAATCAAATTTAGACACAATTTCATAAAACATGATGATAACGTAGTGATAGTGTCCTCTAGCAATGCCTTTGGTTGTCAAAGGTTGTTTGATTCGATAAACATTGACGCCTCAAGTGTTTGAACCAAATTTAAAAGTATTTGAATGAAAATATAAACATGTAAATATAGTATTTAAAAAATAAACAGTGGCAAATTAAATTGGCCAACAAATAGTAAATCGCCCTTTTGAGGATGATGTCAGAATACCGGTCCTGATAGGGTAAAGAAAACGGTTGAGGTACTGTATGCTGCAACATTTATCAGTCAATGCGAAAACTTGGAAAAGGATTATATTGGTAATTATCATCAAAACATCGACTTTGTTACACGTGTCATCTGTCTCAGGTGTCTGCCAAGAACGACTCGGTATGGAGAATGGACAGATTTTGGACCATCACTTATCCTCTTCTAGTAGCTGGAACAGCCAGACGCACGGGCCGCAGCGGGCCAGACTGAATCAGAGAGCCGACCCGGAGCTGGGACTAGCCGGAGGATGGCGCGCCGACACGGGTAGCTCAGCAACCGGAGAGACGTGGATACAAGTCGACTTTGCGCAGTGGACCAATCTTACAGGGGTCATTACGCAGGGTCGCGAAGATAAAAGCGAGTGGGTGACCCAATTCAAAGTGTCATATTTCCAGAATGACTGGCTCTTTGTAAGCACACCTGGAGACGGCCAGCCGCAGGTAAACACATTAACTTAGAGCGCAGAAGATAAAGTGTTGTTCCTTAAATCAGCAAACCTAAAGTTCTCTCCGTACTGACTCACTGACCGAGCGTCACTTGTAAGCCAGGCAGTGATATAGTTAAATCTCATATTGTCTCCTAACGCCGTTCAGTAGGCTAAAACCGGCCTATATTGTGTTGACCAGATGTATATAACAATGATGAACACTCTGAATCAATTTAAAAGGCAGTGCAAAGACATTCTGAATCAGTTTGGTATTGTGAATTCTCTGACACCGCCTTGAGAAGGGTTACCCTATCTTGGTTTTGTTGAAAATGAAAACCCATATGATATCAGGTCCTTATGTTTTAGGTCGGTGAAACAAGGCAAATGACATTATATCGCTTTGATAGGCACGAGTCAAGCTGTTCTGCTTCACTGTTAAGTCTACTTCAAAAGAACACTAGCTGAGATACCAGCTGCAACGGATAAAGTCTGCTGTATTTGTATGGTTTAATTGTAATTCCAAAATGCATATGTTTGTCAGGAAGAGCGTGATGTTGAATGACACAAATTCACATTTCCATGTCTAACTTAAAAGTTAAAGCAATATTGGTGTAATTATTGTCTAATAGGAGTTCTTTGGTAACTATGACACCTACCACCCTGTGACAAACCTCTTCCTGCACCAAGTTGTCGCCAAGTCGGTTCGAGTGCATCCCATCACCTGGTACAGGAGACCAAGCATGCGTTTTGAGCTTCTGGGCTGCACAGGTACTCAACATGTGTTTTATTATTTTGATCAATAATGGCGTCTGATCACACAAATGAAATATGTTGAATTAATATAGATGTGTTTTCAATTCCATTGTCAGATGGTGACCTTATTTTGAACGGCTAATGAGATATTCATATTATTTTTTACAATATGGATATCAGCATTCCCAACCGCCTACGGGAGGGTTGTTAAAAGCCAATGGAAGCTGAACATGTTTTACTAGGAAATTGAAAGATGTTTATACTTAATAATTAAAGCGAAATTCTGCTTAAACATACCATTCGAATAAGTTCTCAGTAATTGCATGACATCAAATTAAAATATAAATGAAGTCAATATTCAAAAAAAGGAACTAGATTTTCCACATGGAGCATTTATTTTTCTACTCGCTTTAAAGAAATTATTCAGTCATCTTTACGAAACAAAAAAAACACACGGGCAAATAATTGTTTATCAAGACATGCCTCACTGCATTGTTTAATAGAATCATGACAATGTATTACTATCGGGCAAAATGGACAGTATTGATATTGTAAGGTGTTGATTCAAACCAAAGATTTTACATTAATTCCTAATCGATCAGAATGTGTTGGTAAAAATACAAATGATAATATAACCTATGAGATTGTAATTAGCTTAGGTTTTAAAGGAAAAGAGAACACAAATTTATTTCTTAAAATTATTTCTTTATTTCTTTATTACAATTACAGTTAAATATCGCTCGGGCGTCATTAGATCCGGTAACTAGCTCACTGCGAAGGGAAATAGAAAACAAAACGGTTGTTGTTAGGAAACATGTTTTTCTCATTGAAACTGGAACAGTCGGTTAATGTTTGAAAGGTGTGACCACGCATTGTATCATTTTACGATAATGCCAAAAAATTGGACAAGGTTTATGTGTAATCATAAAATTGTACGAACTCTTGTGATTTTGTTTTTTAGTGCATTGCCAGTCTCAGCTTGGGATGGAAGATGGACAATCCCTGACTCTGCAATCAATGCATCAACAATTCTGTTAACTCAGGGCTTCTGGCCTTATAGTGTCAGGCTTTTGCCTGTAGGCACGCGGCCGTTTGCTATTCAGTGGTTCGGACAATTGGAGCCAGAGATATGGATTCAGGTAATGATTGATAGCGATATACAGGTGCATGGGCGCAAATCGGGGTGAAGGGTAGGATATACCCCCACCCTTTTGACAAAGAGATGGTCGATCAGATCAATCCCCCCCCCGGATTTTGTTGTGAGAAACAAAGAAACGCAGAAGTTTAAGGTTATATTGTACCTTTCTGATATTTCAAATGCATTATAGTTAAAACAACAACAAAGAGGATTATGGAAGATTTCAATGCAACATTATACGTTAAGGTTAAGGACAAATCCTCGATTTAAACCATAAATACGCTTATCTGCATGCTCGGAAGTCCACACAGTGTATGTGATGCTTGTACACGCATCTTTGTAAACGCCGGCAATCGTGGACCCATATTGTCCCTAATTCTCATTCCTTTGTTTGTACGATTATTAATTGTGGACTATTGGTCAATCGGACGTACTGTTTATGCCCTAACCGTTTTGTCATACACTGCAAAAAATGTGCACCATTGGTATCTATATAGGACCATCTGGAGCTAAATTTTACCTATATAGATACCGAAATGTGTTAAATTAAAGGGAATATACAACATTTGCAAACATCGAAAAACAAAATTACATTGTATTGTATTGTATTGTATTGTTTTATTTCCATTTGTCACAAATTAATATAATGCAAATGCAACAGAATATTTACTACAACAATAACTAAACTTTCTAGAATGATAATACATGTACAACACTTTGATCAATTTAACATAAATGGTGACAGATGGGGGAACCAGGAAAAAAGCCTCAGCTTATACAAAATACCTTACTAGGATGTTAGTATATGCCAGTCTAAAGCATCCTGTAAAATTATGGGACCAGGTGTGTAGTCATTTTCTAAAAAAATTGTATTTTATAAAAATGTCCAACGGTGGTCGGCGACAACCGTTGGAAAAATCTAACCAACTATCAACCACTGCTCCTAATTTACCATTGTTTTTGTCCAAATTTTGTTTGCTATTGGTTACGTGTTCATGAACGGGTGCAGGCTAGTCTTCAGCTAGACTGGTTCTATTACGTTACAAATTTCCGGCATCTAAACATTGATCCATTTCATCTAAATTAGTGGAGTCAGGGAACCAGACTACCTGAGCATTTTTGTTTTTTTCTTGGTTATTCAAGCATTTTCGATCACAAAACTTCAAACGTGTCAGTGTAACAATATTTGATCTATTATACTAACCCTCAATTTACAGGAAAAGCCAATGATGTACATTCCCTTTTAACACTACAGTTTTTGCAGTGTAGGTCCACGATTGCCAATGTTTATATACTCCCATACACACACTTGCCGAGACGCGTTCACGCATCTGATCGGGGGCACCACGTCAAGATCCCATCTTTGAGCAAGCCTGTGCTGATGACATTTTCCGAATTTAAATTATCACTTCTCGTAGGTGGATTTGGGCGAGAGGACGCGAGTTTCTGGTATCATCATACAGAAGCCGTACTATTGGCACGGCTGCATAACCAGTTTCCACCTGGAGTATGCCATATCGGATGACGTGACAAAATGGATACCAATCCTGAACAGTGACAGGACTGAGGTAATTGAAATAAGTGGTTAGAGAGGGCATGAGCTATTATCTGGCCTTCCAAAGTTGTAACATCGTCCGTGTGTAGCTTAAGTATCCATGGGTAAGGTTGTGCATTTATTTCTGTTTCAATTATTGGATCCGTTTATAGACCAATTAGCAAGAAAGAAAAGGGGTAAAATTGTTGACACAAGGGGCCATGAAGTTTGTCAACCATCGGGGCAAATTCATTCAATGCGTTTCATTATATGTATTAAACGCAGGTGTTCCAGGTTAAAGCGTATTTTACTCAGCATCAGAGAGAGAGGCACATCAGCTACTTTTACAGCAGTGTTTTGGCTCGATTCATCCGGTTAAACGAAGGCTTGGATAACTCTCCGTGGCATTGCTTCCTGATGAGATTTGATTTCATCGGCTGTCGGAATCATGTAAGTTGTAAATCGAGTGAAGTTCATTTTTCTTTCGTCCGTTTTTCCGTTGCAAATTTAAGTCTGGAAAAAATACAGGCCTTTACACGAGAACAAAACGAAGACACGTTTATTGTAAAGCCCCTGTCACACTTTCGCGTATCCTAATTCCTTATGAGTTCCTTATCAAAATGTTTCAATACGCAGCCGTACGCTCAAAACGTCGAAACTTTTTGAATACTTTGACTTATGTGCGACGCACATCTAGCGTACAAGTAACAAATTCAGCGCATCCATTGCGTATGAGATGCGTATGAGTTGCGTATGCAGTGCACGACATTATTTTTCGGCCTGCGAAAAGGTCAGTATGCAGTGCACATGCTGAGCGTATTCCAGACGCACCCAACTTATGCCGACCGCATGCCTGACGCAATACGTCGGCATTCGCTATGAGTTCGTTCAGCGCGTGCATTGTATCTGCGCTGCAAGTACGCTATGTATACGTCCAATTATAGGCGGCTCATATGCTGACGGGGTGCGTGCCGGGAGGTCAGCGTATTACTGCGTATGAACCGCTTATCCCCCACGAACACATAGCGTACTCGTACCGTGATCGACAGATGCGGGAGCTGCGTATTTATAACTTATGACCTGGGTAACAGCGTACGCAGCGTAGTTTTGTGCATGCCCAAAACTATCCGGCGTACTGGGCTGTACCATGCGTATGCCTGCGTACAAAAACTTGCACGAAACGATAGAGATGCATATGAGGTGCGTATTGTGCGTACGACTGCGTATGAAAAAAATGTCAATGCGCAACTCATAAGGAATTGGGATACGCAGAAGTGTGACAGGGCCCTAAGGCGGACTGATGCACGTGAACCATTGGTGAAGCATATTCAATCGTATATTCTTTGCCCGTATATTCTTTGGCCGTACTGTCTCAACAAAACAATTTCTCCGTTTAATTTAACTGTTGTTCCATGATTAATGTGTTTTCGTTGAAATGACTTTTTCTTGTCTTTTAAAAGAAAGTTTATTGCTAGTAATTATTATAAACTAGAGCTGTTTGTCTGTTTGAAAACAGAACAGGGCTTTTTCGCATTTTAAACAGGTTAATGCTTTGTTCGTCCTTTTGCAGTCACTTTCTAGAGTGTTTCATGCAGTTAAGGTTGTTCAAAATGCTAAGCATAATTCCTTAAATATAATTTTATCACATGACGACACATGCCATGGGATGACGTCATCTTGACAACACTTGTCAATGCACACCTTGTTATTTTGGTCTTGGTTTATACAGCTCTATGGTTTGTACCAAGTTTTAAGTCAATCCGATGTACGGAAGTGTGCAATTTTCGAAGCGGAATATAATTATAAATATTTTTAAAAATCATAAAAAATAAACGATGACGTCATCGTGACGTCACTTTAGACTTAACAAGTTTCATGACCATCGGAACTTTCCTTATATGTGTTTTGAAAAATCGCATTTTTGATGACGTCATGATGACGTCACACATTTTTATTTCATTTTGCAAATAACTATTACCTAACAAACCAATTACACAAAGAATTTTGATTTTTGCATGTTGCATTCTTGAGATATGGCTAAAAGGTCCCAAAATTCAAATATTCATATTGAATCGCATGATGACGTCATCGTGACTTCGCCTCATGTATTACTTATAACATATCCCGGTCTACTGATATTCCAAGTTTTAACCCAGTCAGACTCACAGTTCTGTATATATATGGGATTTGCCATAAGGACTATGCATATGCTTAGTTTGAATGATGTGTGACAAAGTTCAATGCTAAAGTGACGTATACTAAAATCGTGTACAGAGTCAATGGGATTTTGCATGGAACAAAGAAGAAAGTAGGGAGAAAAAAATCCGAACAAAAACAAAGGCTTTTTTGAAAATTTGCGAAAGAGCCGACTACAAGTACCTCCATCTAATTAAGTTATCCAAACAACTGCTATTAATGCACTCTACCCTGACTTTTTTACCAGACCGAATAGCTCAAAGTTGTAATTTTTTCACTTAACACTCTCCGAAATTGTTTTGTTTGTGATTTTGCCGGCCTCGAAATCTAAAGCGTTTTTTTGTACGTGAAGTTTACTTCCGCAGCCTTTGATGATGAATAATCATGCCATATTTCATTCAGTGAAATGAGAATGAAGATGATCAGTTATTGAAGTGAAAACAAAAAAGAAGATAAACAACTATAAAAAACGTAACAAAATCCATGATCACTTTGATGATTATATGAAACGTGTGTTTGATACAACGAAGTAGGATTTTCACATACGACAACAGCCTGTTCTTTGGGAGGAAACGTGGTTTTCTGGACTGTTTAAAAGCATCTGGCGATTAATTGTTTGTCGGTCCACCTGTTACTTCGTCGTCGGGTGACAGGCTATTTGATAGGCTGTTAATTCGGTCTGTTTGTTTTCACTAACTCTCAATCCACGCGCATCCGTCAGCCGAGAATGACCAGGACTTGTCAGACATTATTCTCTGACGGCTACGTACTGGATGACACTTATCAAATCGACATGGATGGTATCGACCAAGGTCAACCACCATTCCAGGTCACATGCAGTATGTCAGATGGTGAGTTGTGAATCAGATAGTGTTATAGTTCTCACAAGTCCTTCCTCTTAGGTCATTGTAAGTCCTCACAAGTGCCTGCAAGTCCTCAGAAGTCCATCGCAAGACACCCAGTCCCAATTGAGTTCGCAAACTATTCAAATGAACTTTGACAAAGATTTCCTTTGTTGTTGTTGGGTTTTTTTTTTTTCATCCGCTGGCACGTATGGCTGAACTTGTGAATGGTCACTCGAGAACTGGGTTTTGGTCTGATTGGGAAGGGTCTGATGTTAAGTTTGCTTAATCATAGAAGGGGCACTGTCTGACCCTCAGCTCTGCAGGATCAGCCTTTGCTTTAAAACGAACATCATGGGGAAAGAAAACTAACAAGATAACAAGTTCATTACTTTACAGAAGATAATACACGATAAGAAGAAAAAAGAGGGGCATTAGGCCAAATAAAAAAAATAGTCTTTGGTCAGCGCGCGGTAGCTCCAACAGCGCCCTCTATTGCCGCACCTCCTCAAAAAAAAAATTACAAAGAGCACCAAGGAATGGGAAATTGCACCAAGGCAAATTATGGAGGACACCAATGTGCATGAGGACACCAAAAAAGCAAACTAGTACCCCGCTTTGTCTGTACAATCCAAGCTTAAAAATAAAGCCGAGTCACCGCATCAATTCCGAAACTTTGGTCTGACAAGAGACCGATTTTTTTTTTTTGGCCTTACATGGTTTGTTTCATTTTCGCCAACTTGTGTGTTCGCACAATTTCCACTCACAATAATAACAGAAAAGAACAGGTGGTGCATATCGCTGTAACTTTCCAGAAAAAAATTGTTCTTCCGTATCTTGTGTTTTCGAAGAAGTGAGAGATTCGTGACTAAATTGTATGAATTGTTTGTCTATAGGTGCTACCATAATTCACCATGATGCCGAAGACACTTTCAAAATTTCAGGATCACCCAACCAACTTACAACGATTGACATTACGTACGTCATCGACATGCAGCAGATCATCAGTGTGATTGATAATGCCTCGACGTGTGAACAAATGGTCAAAGTCAAGTGTGGAGAAGCCGACCCAAGTACGCTCTCGCAGCATCCGGCACTCCAGCCAGTCAAGTGGGGTTCCCGCAGCGGGGAGTTGATGCAGAATTGGGGAGGGCCACTGGTCACATTGGCTGCACCTGTGGTTTGAAACAAAGTAGGCAAACTTGAGTTGAATAATTTCTTTAGATTGACTCGCAAAATTGTGATATGGTCCGCTCTTCCCTACCACTCGAGGGCGTTTGTGGTATCTTATTTAAGGCTTTCAATGGAAACATTATTTATAACCAGAGTGACTAGGCATCACGAATTTTCAGGCCGTCACAGCGTTGTGGGGAAGTTTTTATTTTGAGCAATTTAGGACCTCTCCCCACAGCATCTTCGGTCCCCATATTATCACCATGGGACAACTCGTGTGTAGTCTCCACAACTACAAAACAAGAAGTTGTGTACGCACGACACGTGCAAACGAAATACATGTTTATGGCAAGTGACCTGCTTAAACGTTTTTTTGCGACGCAACCGTTTCTTTCAGAGGTTTTTGTGAAAGGAATTATCTGTCAACTTGAATATGGAACTTGGGGCCAGATACCTATTATTTGTAATGCATCATAGGAACGGTTTGCGATCGTTGGTTGAGGAAGTGGCCGCATTGTTCATGTAGAGCGGATTTCTCAAACGTTTAAATAATCTGGTTCCCATAAAGGCATTCTATCTCAAACAATCATATTACGTATAGTTATAAGTACGAAATCAAATGACCAAACGGGTTTCGAACTATCACAAACATGAACGCGAAACCTCTTGTTCTACTCTTGTTTTCGTCCTGTATACTTGATTTGACAGATTGTAACACTGATGGAGAGCTGTGCAACTGTGGCGTGGGGCTCAACCGATCTAGCTGGGCGTACGACGAGGGGATACTGACTGACAAAGATACCCTGCCAGTCACGCTGATCCAAGCCTTTACCTCCCAGGACGTGTACGTCACTGTTGGGGCCCTGAAATGCAAATGGCCGCACTACAAAGTACGTTATTAAGTTGCCTTAAAAACGACAAATATGATAAGATCCTTACAGGTTCGTTAATTTTTTTTTTTGAAATATCACTCTGTTTGACATCCTGAATGAATATGGACATTATTTGCATGAACATGTTGCAAATTTGTTTTGTTTCCAACATGAGGTTTTGTGTGCAAGTCTGTGACGTATCCAGAGGGGGGACCAACCCCGGGCGAATTTTTGTTATTTTTTTTCAGCAATTATTTCAATACCTGGTTAGATAGCTCTCATTGCGAAGATAGGGACCAGCCCCCCCCCCCCGCTTTTTTATTTTATGGAGGCCATGAGTCCGGAAAAAACGTGTCTACCTTCGCTGATATGTGGTTGCCCCCCCCCCCCCCCCCACATCCAAAGATTGATTCGCTACTGAAGGGAGAGGAATGACCAGGAGGCAACAAGGAGATGGCAAAGATTTTGTTCTTGACAATTTACAAAATTGTTAAGGCAAAGTCATTTTCATTTTACAAATATCTGTTTTTTTCGACGACATATGAACTTTGTACGTCTACAAATAGAGATTTCGGAATTCAAATGATAAATTTATCCGCAATGCTCTGCGCGCAAGTGTTGTTTGTGTTGTGAAAAATAACAATGTCTTACAAAAATCAAAATAAAAATCTGCTCAGTTTAAAAATATGTGATTTTTCATTGTGATTATTATTATTAGGTATTGATAATATCTGCATAGTCATATTGTATTTACTTGTTCACAACTTAATTTAATTACAATCAGCTCAATTACTTGCTTTCCATCTTTTTTTTTGGCACTCAATGAGTTCCCTTTTTACACTTCAATGCAAGTAAATATCGACTCAGTAAGTTATACTGTTGAGTATTGTATTAACTTTATCATTGGCTTCTGCACCTAATATATTCACATTTAATATTTGTTTTTTTCACTTATTCAGTGACTGTTTATCTTTTAAGACAGATATAAACATATGTTTAGATGTTGATGTTTGCATTGCAAATGTTATAGTTTTCTGGGGTTTTTAATTATGAAGAATATTATTTTATTTCAAGTATTGCCCTTGATACATGCATTTTAGCACAGTGCCCTCAATAGTCCGGTAGCATCCAGCCCAAAGCCCCTTCCATCGCACAAATTTTCCAAATTTTCCAAATACTAAATAGAGATTGCCGCTGATGGTCATGATATTGTAACGGAAAAGTGTATGGACTATAACAAGTCTAGCGCGCGTAGTGCGTGCGTGAATTGGCGGAATTTTGCTCAGTGCGTAAATGCACGTTTGCGATGAGTTTTCAAAGGTGCATGGTTTAACGTATATTAGGGGTACTCACGTGATCACGCGGGTCTGTTGAGTCTGGACAGCGGACAGTATACAATTGTTGCCTGTTGTGATGGGGTCCAAAGTGTATTGTACACCCGAGGGTGCAAATGACCGAGGGTGCCATTTTCACCCGAGGGTGTACAAAATCCATGGACCCCAATCACGGCAGGCAACAAGTGTTTCGTTGTTCCACGGTAATATATTCCAATATATTTTGAATAGATCCGCGATGCCTTCACCATGAATATTTGCACAGAATGTTTTTTTTTCATTGCAAGGAAACACAAATTAATTTACCTTTTCCCAGAATAGACCAATACATTAAACAATGCACAACACTGTAAAGAGGAAAACCACATTGTAAGTCATGTACACCAATTTAAGCAATAAACACCAACGTAAGTAACGTACACCAATGTTTTCAACGCACGCCAATGTAAGTAATGTACGCCAATGTAAAAACATTTAACGCACGCCAATGTACATGTAGTGTACGCCAATGTAAACAATTAACACACGCCAATGTAAGTTATGTACGCCAATGTACACAATAGACACCAATCTAAAAAAAATACATGCCAATGTAAGTAAGGTACACCGCGCAAGCATACAACCCATTCGGCTTGCACCTGATTACGCTTTACCCGTGCAAGCTAGCGTCATCATCGTACAGTACCTTTGCTTTGTAAAGGGGTATTTTTTGCTGTTTTATTGTGCAATAAACAAGTGATCACAATCCTCATAATCGGCAGTATATTTCCTCCAAAACCAACCTGCTCCCCAAGTCTAGAGGTCGCTCTGAAGGGTCTCTCGTCATGGGAAAGGTTGTGTTTGGGAAGATCAGCTACACTGTAACAGGTGTCAGACTTGGTCCCAACGAACTTAGGTTTGTTTAGCAGATCCCCGCCACAATATACCCATCTGTAGCCTTTTCACAAGGTCGACCTAACTCACGCTGGTATTTTACTGAGTGGTGAAACAGCCAGGCGTTTTGAACGGCTATTATAGACACATGTCCAGCGAGCGGTGTCTTTATCTGCAGCATGTCGTCAATGTATCATGCTTTTTAAGTATTTTTGTTACGTACGATGACACTCATTCGGAATGTATTTTTCAGGTTAAATACCCTCAGTTGTTTCGCTCCCATCATTTGTACTGTTTGTAATTCTCATCAAATTACATTTGCGAATAAAGGAATAAATCTCATTAATGTTGAAACCCCAGTCTACTCTTATTGTTTATTTCAATCAGTATCTCTTGAACATGGATAATTACGATTATGACTAGGGCCGCCTACTTAAGTTAGTCTTTGCCATGTAATATCGTTTCAAATTGAAAATATTCAAGGATCCTTTCCCAATTATTCAAGGGGTAGGATTTTGCATAGGTGTCCGATATACCTGCCTTTCAATATACATCTCTTTTGTTTTTTTATTAATTAACATATTCCACCTTCTTAGGACTTTTTGTATTTGATAGAGGCCATATTCAGGTTCAAAGCCGTTGATTTAGTTTCTGTTGCAATTTGTTCAAGGTTGCACCATAATTATGGTAAACTGTTGGACATACCTCACATGACATTGAACCCGACATTTTTTAACACATTCCCCATTACTTGTTGGACATGTAAATGTACCTCACTTATCAATGAACATTAACCCCGCAGTTTTTGAACACATTAGGGGCCATTCAGAATGTTCAATGTTTAAAAT